AGTAGTAACAAGAAGCTACTATAGTAACAAGTGCATCGCTACTAGTAGTAGCAAGAAGCTACTAGGTTGAAGGCCATCGCTATTAGGTTGGAGACCATCACTACTAGTAACAAATAGCTGCTGTAGCTACTATAGAAGCTGGTGAGGTGTTTTTGCACCACTTGGGGGACTCTCACTAGGTTGTTACATAGGTTTGGACCATTGGAAGGGGAACTTCTTCTTGCCAACTTTTCTGTTCCAGAAAAATGCCGAAGATCGACACGAAAGCACATCGGCCAAAAACCTTGGCCTCAGATAGGATCCTGCTCTGGATTTTGACGCAAAGACCAGACAAAGGTGCATCCCCAAATCAGCCGTCTTTAACAAATCCAAGACTTTCACCTCTGACCGTTAAATACGAACGGCCCCAAGTATCAATCATGACCTCAGCTCTAGAAACCAAAAGAATAGAACTGAGGTCCTATCTTGAAAGACACAGTGAACAGTGAAGAGGACAAAGAGAAAACTCGAACAGCTGTAGATTCTCCTTACTCTGATACATATCCAGAAGGTGAGGTAGAAGACCCATCTCAGGTGCTCAAACCTGGAGAAATTCTTGCTTCAACTGTTACTTCAACTGCAGTGTCTAGGCCCCTGACACTCAACTGGAAGTGGGTCACCGTGCCACTATCGTTTTGTCCCCTCTACCTAGTCCCGTTTGTAACCAGTGAACTGTTTATAGCTAATCCGATCTAAACCCTACCGACTGGAAGACAACCATCATCATCGAGGGATATCCACAGTGGGGATGGAGCATACCCAAACCACTTATAAATATAGTAGTCAGTATATAGTTGGTAAGCTTTACACCAAGCTCTTATTTTCTATGGTTGAGATTGTGCAAGTACTAATCACTGAGGTTGAATGCAATGGTCTCCAACCTAGTAGCGATGGCATGCAACCAAATATCGATGGCCTATCGATGGCCTCCAACCCACTAGCGATCACTGAGGCTGAATTACATCTACTACGCCTGGCCTTCCTACTCCCTGGATGGACTGAGGCACTGCGACTGCGACTGCGGCGCCCATCGCGGCCGGCTCTGCGACATCGGAGAGATTGGTGAAAGACCCAACCTAACAGGTGTTTTGGAGAGATTGGTGAAAGCCAAAGAGTAACAAGTACCCCTCTCTGGGTGCTGCTTCTGGCAGGCTCTTCTCATCGAGATTCACCATGAGGAAACAACTCGGTCTGGTTCACCCACAACCAAACTCAACTGCCAGCCTTTTTCTCTGTGAGGCCTGTTCCATTCGGCCTGATCAGCAAAGAACCCCCACTCAACGACCAGGACCTACTCAGACCTGGATGCCACGGTGCGCCGCACCGTCCCTGCGCGCGCTCAGCGGTCTGCGCGCCCTGCGCGCGCGCACACAGCGCGTCGAAGAAGGGCCCCGGTGGAGTGGGTGCAAGCAGAACTGTCGAAAGGTTACATGAGCCGGGGCCCACTATAAGTTACACGTATGAGCCTTAGATGTATACATACATGAGTTACACATGAGTTACATGAGCCTTAGATGGTGTATTTTATAATGTATACAGTGAATCAGTGAAGTGTCGCCGGGCAGGGAGAACGCTTGGTTCATGTCGATTCCTCAAGATCTCTGAGCCCAATCCCGAGGGAACGGTCGCAGCAGATCAGAACCGGTCAGGAGTGAGAACCGGTGTTCCAGGTGTGATCAGCCTTTCCTGTTTTCAGCTTTGCCTTTCAAAGCTGGGCTGTGCAATCGTTTTCAACTGTTTTCGTCATTCTTCAACGGTTGAGGCAACCAGGCAACCCCACCTTTCTTTAACAGCAGCTCTACATAGCATCAATGCATCCACGGCAAGCCCTTCATTCGATAGTATTCGATTTCGATACCCTGCAAGTGCATCTCGACATCGTCGAAGCTCTCGAAGCGTTGACATCGTCCATGGCGTGTGTCTCGCGATGACCGCCATGCGCTCACCTGGCCGCGTGCGCTTACAGCGCCGTGTGACTGCCATGAGGCGGGTGACCGTTTCGTTCCTCGGCCGGCGCCAGCGTCCGATCGCTCCGTTCGTAGCGATGCCAGGAGCCCCGTTCGTAGCTTCATGTAGCTTCTTGTTACTAGTAGTACGGCCAGGAGCCCCTAGTAGCTTCTTGTTACTATAATCATCCTGGACCAGTTCTACTATAGCCATGTTTTTCAGGCGCCACACTTGAGTCAGGATCAACACTAGTGGGTAAGCCGATTCTTATTGTCAAGCATCGTCATTCACTGTTGTGATTGGGCTTTCCAAAAAAACACAGAAGACCCGGCTTAACTTCGGAAGTCCTCGGCTGGTGCACGGTGCAACCATCGCTCGCAGCTCGCTGCCTGATAGGTGAGGTGTTGCACACGAGTCTTATGGATCTCGAGAACGATGGTTTGGTTGATTTGGCTTTCATGGAAAGACTAGGAGCAAGGATGCTACTAGTAGCTCCTGGCATTACTACTGGTAACAAGAAGCTACTAGGAACAAAGGGCATCGCTACTAGGAGCAAGGACGCTACGAACGGGGCGCTCCTGGCACTACTTACCTCTTCAGGCTGGGTTGGAGATGCATCCAGGGTCCAGGGATGCCCAGGCTAGGCTGGGCTTTCGCAACTGTGCACAGCAGGTTGGGATGCTACTGTGACCTGGAAACGATTGCAGACGGAACAAAGTGATGTTCTATTTTCGCCCTCAACCACGACACTCCTCTTCAGGCACCATTTGGTTTCTTTCCTGGATGGAAAACCGCGGACAGCCAGGATGCTTCCCCGCCCCCACACATACGTACACACACCAAAACGAATACATTATCCCAAGCAAGATCATGGTAATTAGGAGGTCCTGGACCTCCCAAAGGGCAAAGCCACCGACACACGCTCACTGCAGGTGTTCGCCTCACTCGCTGCGAGCGGTGGCGTCGGGGACGCCCGGAGCGGTTCGGCTACAAATAGCAATGGCCTCCAACCTCATAGCGATTTCCTCCAACCTAAGAGATTCAAGAGACCTTCTACACCCAATCTAAGAGGCCAGGCGTTCTGAAGCACTAGTAGCGTCCTCTTGCTCCTAGTAGTAAGGCCAGGAGCCAAATCTTTTCAGCCCCCCGTACCGAACCGCCGAAATGCCGAAGCGTCTCCGGGGTCCGAAGTTCCGAACGAATGGCAACGGCGCAGCACTGAGCACAGTGCAACTCAAAACCTCTGCTCTAAGAGACCCAGAGAGAGGTTGGGCAGTGACCATTGTTCTCGACTGTCCATGGTCTTGTGGTCACGTTGTCACGTTGTCCTCTCTTCTTTTTTCGATCGCCCGCCGGTCCATCCCATGAACTCCGATGCCAAGAATTCTGTTTGCTTTTCGTGTTTGTTCATTGCTTTTCGCCCGATTCTGCCCCATGCTTTTCCGCTAGTTCTTTCCGTTCTCTCCTGTTTCTCTGGTGTTCTGACATGACCTCATGACACGACCCAAATTGGACTGCCATATGTTGAGGACCCATCAAAGCATGCAAAAAGTGCCCATGCCAGTGTCGCGGCACAATTTAGGAGTGTAGTCCCGCTAAGAGTGATGGGGTTCTTCTCCTTAAAAACAGCACAAAATCCCACGCGATCCAAGACCAACGGCCTTTAAGGGGGAGACGGGAGACCTTCTCTCAGTTGGTCCAAAAAGCGAAGCAATGGGAACAGAACTGCTAGAATAGGTACACCACTCTCTACCAGCAAACCTTTGCACCCCAAAAACACAGTTAAAGTAGGAGCAAAGACGCTACGTTCGGGGCTCCTGGCCTTACTAGGAGCAAGGGATGCTACGAACGGGGCTCCTGGCATCGCTACGAACGGAGCAACATGAATTACTACTAGCTTCTTGTTACTAGTAGTAAGGCACCTGTTACTACTAGCGTGGCACTTGTTACTACTAGCTTCTTGTTACTAGGGTGCTGGTCGGACCGTCGAACGTTGTTCTGCGTGGAAGTCCAGGCTGGCACTCATGGCGCTCCCCGCTGCTGCGGGCGTGGAATCGGATCGGTGGCGCTTGGTCGGGGCGCCCGGAGATGGGAAAGAACGGCAAACATGCAGCTGACCTGGGAACAAGAGGACGCTAGACGCTACTAGGGGCTCCTGGCATCGCTACTAGGAGCAAGAAGCTACGTTCGGGGCTCCTGGCCTTACTACTAGGAGCAGGAGGACGCTACAAGTAGCTCCTGGCCTTACTACTGGGAGCAAGAAGCTACTAGGAACAAAGGGCAGCTGACCTGGGTTTTCACTTTTCGAGTGGATTCAATTCGATCCAATTAGCCCCTTGCGACATGAACGTGCACTGGCAGAATGGGTGAACGGGATTTCGAACAAGTCATCCACTGCATGACATGATGAATTTCAGTCTTCCCCATCGCAGGTCCAGTCCAGGTAACTGCTTAACTGAACCCAAGGCCTGTGTGGAAAGAGGCTGAGGGTGATCCTACCACCACATCGGCTGCTTTGCAGTCACTCCTGAGGGTGATTTGGGAGAAACACGGGATTTGGAAGGAGAAACGACCGAACAGGAACCTCTGGAATTTTGATATGACGATTCAAACAGTTGAAAAGGAGTACCAGGACCAAAAAAAAAACACTGATTTGCAGAGGAAGTTGAGAAGAAGCTAGAAGTCAGCGGTGATCAGCATGGAAGCAACATGATAGTGACCGATAGTGGATGGCTTCCTCCTGCATCCACTCTCTGTTGAGGGTGTCTCAGCCTAGTGTTGGAACCTATAGACAGCACAACTTGGAGTTGTTTCCTTTCAGTCTCCGAATCGGAAACCTGCTGAAAGTGATGAAAAGTGATGAAATGTGCTTTCGTTGCTTTTTTTTACACTCAGGACTTCCGACTTCTAGGTGCTTTAGCCGAAGGGCACGACTCCTACGACAGCCCAAATAGAACCTCTAAACACCAAGCTCCCGAGCTGTAAGGGTCCACCCCAGTAGCACCCGTAAGAAAAACACCGCCCCAAAAAGACACACCGAATAGCAAGAAGCTACTAATAGGGTCCTTGCTCCTAGTAGCGATGCCCTTTGCTACTAGTAGCTTCTTGTTACTAGTACGAACCACTCCCGATTTCTTTCTTCCCTTTCTGAACCAACGCACGAGCCTCAGCCTATTGGTCGACAGGTGGGACGGAACGTGGGCAGCAGCTGGGCCGGGACCTCACGAACGGCCAAGGCCGAACAGTCTCAACGGGGCCCAACAGTTGGTGGATGGGCGGGGCCCAGTCAAGAAAGTGCGGATTTCAGACGTTCCCCTTTTTTGATTTTTGTAACTGTGAGACTCTTAGACCTTTTCTCTTCCCCGGAAAGCACCTGCGAAGGGTTCTTTGTATAGAACGGCTACCAAATTGAACTGTCCAAGTATCATCATCATCATCATCATCATCATCACGACTGTTCTACGATGACGGAAAGCGATGAATATCGCTTTGAGTTGTTGGCCGGGAGGTAGTTCCGGGGGGGGGGGGGG